CCGCCCGCTACTAATAATTCTAGCAATAATTCGGGCTCTTCCCTAATGAAGAAGGACGTCCCTCCCCTAAGTACGAGGGCCTACGGACGTAGAGTAGATTAGATGGTATAGTAGATCAGAGTATAGATAACAAGTAATCTACTGATAACGAGTACATCGTCCGATATTGCCGGGCGTCGAGTCCGCCATCAGCGCCCGCTGTTGATGCCATCGGCAACGCTGTCTCCCGCGTTGTCCAGCCCCTCGTGACGTCGTTGCTGACGGCGCCGACGCTCCGCCGCCTGGGCGCTTTCCCGCCCCGACCTCCCCCAATCCGGTAAGCAGTACCTCGGGTAGGAGGCTGCCCCCCCTCGGCGGGCCATAGCTCGCTCTCCCATTCACCGATTGCATTCGTTGTTTTTGTATTATGTGCGTATTATGTAGGGCTACCCAACGCACTTTGTCCGACGTCGATATGTGCAGTACTTATTCATGGGGATAGCAATTACCGCTAAGGGTACCATTTGAGACACGTACTCATCTATACTGTGGCACTAATGCCTTTAAAGTACCCAAAGTAAAATTTCCTAGATAGTGGTAGCACATAGCTACAATATGAGCCTTGTTGCGCGTAATTTGAGCGGGCGCACGCGATGGTACACCTTGTGCTCCCCGTGATACACATACTTACACTACTGATCTCCCACCGTCTCTACCCGGCCGGCGCGCTTCGGCGTGAGTGCACTATGCGTTAATGTATATATTTCGTGGCATTCTTCTGGAATAGTGGTGGCGATAAAGCCTCCTATGAAGGGTGATGTCATCTGTACTGTAAGGGGTATGTTTTAGACATATATTGCAGAACAGGTACTCTTCCCATGGTGTAACCTTTCCCGTAGCACTACCGCCATAGAGGCCTCTACAATACGCACCTGTTAAAACAGGAATCATGAATTTTGGTGGAGTACTGCCAAAGATATGAGCTGAAGAGTCGTCGAGAACACACTTTGTGCAAGACTGTGCACGAAAATGTGCTCTACATTCTGCTCAGATGGTGCACTTTCAGAGTATTCCGGGCATAGCTCCTGCAGATCTTCACCTAAATTCATGATTCTTGCTGCTAAATGTACGTGCAGAGAGGGGTAATCCACCTATATTATTCATGAGAGCTTCGTCTCACGGGGAACATGTATGTACTCCAATATATGCTCACAACGGGTCCCTGATGGTCAAAGTAACCTCCCTCTGTGTGCAGCCAATATATAGCATAGCGTCTCTAGGGAATGATTCATATACATATAGAGTACCATATAGTGCCATCACGCTGGAGTGCGCCAGCAGGATGGAGACGGCGGGAGGTCAGCATTACAAGTATGTTTACCACCGGGAGCACAAGGTGTACCATCGCGTCCGCCCGCTCAAATCGGGCGCAAGAGGGCTAATATTGTAGCTATATGCTACTAACATCTAGGAACACATATTATGTGTGCTTTGAAGACACTAGTGCTACGATATAGATAGGTATCTGTCCCATATAGTACCCTTAGCGGTAATTGCTATCCCCATGAATAAGTACTGCACATATCGACGTCGGACAAAGTGCGTTGGGTAGCCCTACATAATACGCACATAATACAAAAACAACGAATGCAATCGGTGAATGGGAGAGCGAGCTATGGCCCGCCGAGGGGGGGCAGCCTCCTACCCGAGGTACTGCTTACCGGATTGGGGGAGGTCGGGGCGGGAAAGCGCCCAGGCGGCGGAGCGTCGGCGCCGTCAGCAACGACGTCACGAGGGGCTGGACAACGCGGGAGACAGCGTTGCCGATGGCATCAACAGCGGGCGCTGATGGCGGACTCGACGCCCGGCAATATCGGACGATGTACTCGTTATCAGTAGATTACTTGTTATCTATACTCTGATCTACTATACCATCTAATCTACTCTACGTCCGTAGGCCCTCGTACTTAGGGGAGGGACGTCCTTCTTCATTAGGGAAGAGCACGAA